GATCGCAGGGCCAAGGGAATCAAATGGTGGGGGTGTTCGTTAAGGAATGTGCCGAGGAAGTTTCAGACCCTGGAGGATTCCTTAGCTGATGAGGGCGCTGGTGACGTCCATGACCAAGCCTCAATTGGTGCTGCACCGTCTTTCAGACCCTGGGTTCCTTATCCAAGGGTTCCTTATCCAATGCCCTCACCTTAGGTCGACTTTTCACTCTTCCGCTGAAGGCGGCGGAAATCTTGCAGAAATAAAGCGAGCAGGTCTCCGCAGGCAGAGGCACATTAGATGCTCCCCCGGATGTCAACGGCTTTGGATTCAGAGCTTCAGAACGGGCCATGATAGAGACCCAGAACTACAGCGTGTTTCGTCAAGTTCGCCCCGCGGGGTTCGTTTTCGGACCCCAGGATCATAACAAAAATGGGAAACAAATGTTTGGGGGAATGGATAGGGAATTCCGGAGCCCAAAGCTTGAAACATCACAGCGTCGGATCATGGGAGGGGGGCAGGATGCTTATGCGTGCGCGTGTGCGTGCACTGTGCGGAGTGTGATGTGTGTGAGTATGTGTGCAGGGCGCAAGGGGTGCTTGGTGTCGGGTTCCTCCCTCTCTCTCTCTCTCTCTCTCTGGTGTCCAGTATATACGTGGCGCGGTGCTCGATGAGCGTGTGTGCGTCTCCGCTTTGGCACGTCTGCTTCCCAAACAGTGCCTGGACCTACGTAGTATCGGAGGCCTGGAAATGGGCACCAACACCAACACAGGGGGTTGCCTCCACAGGGGGAAGATGATCCTAGATTTTTCGGTGTTGGTGGTAATACTTCGGCCACCTTGGAAGCCAGAAGATTACCACCATCACCGAGATCGGGATCCTCTTCCCTCCATGGAGGCACACCGCCGATGTTGGTGTTGGTGTCAACCTCTAGGCCTGCGATAGTAGCTTCCCCCATGCATCTCCGAATGATCGGATGGGTTCACACACAGCTTTCGCCCGGTGTCCGCCCGCTGGGCCCGCCTCGTGCCCGCTTCTTGCGCTGGCCCGCGCTTTCGCCTGGCGCCCGCCCGTGCCCGCGCCGTGCCAGCCCCCGTGCGGTGGGTGGATTCCGCGGGCTTCCGCGCCCGGCTCCGTTCCGCGCGCCGACTCGCGCTGCTGTCGGAGGTGGACAGAACCCCCAACAGTGACACGTCGATGAGTGAATTGGCCCTTTCTCGGTTCTCGAGAGGGCACCGTGGCCCTTATTTTCCAGGCTTGCGCCCGCCAGGTTTGGGCCCGAGGTCGCTTTCACTAAACCACGTTTTACGAAAGGGAGGCCTGTCCATCCCCGATACTGGACGCACCCACGGTTTGCACGACAGCGATTCTCCTTTCAGAGTCGGCGGCGAGCGAGGGGGGAAGGGAGAAGGAGCGGGCCTTCTCAGAAGGCTCGGAAGTCCCTTCTGAGAAGTTTTCTAAGGCTTCCCCGAAGACATCAAGTGTCGCAGAAGGCGCGAGGGCTTCTGAGAAGTCCCGCCGCTCTCTGAGAAGGCCTTCTCTTCTCACTTCCCCCCCCCGCTCGCCGTCGACCTTTCAAAAGAAGAACGGACTCTACCACCCTCCGCATCCGGGGTTAACCGCTCCCCGCTTCGCATGGCAGTTATGTTTGCCCCTGCCTCACTGTTCATTCCGCTTGTGAGATCTACCATCCCGGGAGGGCCGGTATCGACCACCCCCGCCATCTTTGCCAAAGAATACCACGCGCGCACATTCATCTGTCGCCAAGAGTCATGTCCAAGACTCCATGGCACAAGAGTGCAACAAAGTCCAGCGGCGCGCACACGTCCAAATCAGGCCAAACAGACTAGCTGTGCAAGGAGGCCAACATCTGCCCATATACACACACACATATATATATGTATATACATACGTCTATGTCTACCTATATATATATATATATATATATGTTTATATATATATAAAAATATGGATACGCATCCGTAAGGGCTTCGCACCCTGCCGCCAGCCCCCTCTCTATCAGATAGGGAGAAATCAGAGTCGCGTCGGTGCGTCTCGGCACTGCCTTGGCGCATCGGAGAACATCATACGGGGGCGGATAGAAATCATCAGCGCATATTGAGACGTTGACGCGATCCTAGTGGCCTTCGGCCCATTCCGCCACCGTGTCTGGGTTGTGGGTCAGAGGACTCTTGTATATATATATATATATATATATATATATATATATATATATATATATGTGTGTGTGTGTGTGTGTTGGGTGTCGTGGGGAGCCTCGCGGGGGTCTCTTGGAGGCGGTATCGGCCTCCAAACATGTTTTTGTGAAATCGACGCTGGTGGCTTCTTGGGGCTCTCTCGGGAGGCCTCTTGGATCTCTCTTGAGGCCCTCTTGGGCCGTCTTGGAACCATCTTCGGGCGCCTCGGAGCACTCTTGGCCTCGGCAAGACGAATACAGCGTAAGCTGCGAAGGTGTATGGTAACGTGGACGCGAACACGGAATAATGTACGAGGGTTTGTTGCCTCGGGAGCACACGAATTGAGCCATTTGCGAGGGTTTGTGGCTTCGGGGACGCGACTTTTGTATAATTTTCCAATGACTTTTGGCTTCGGAGACGCGGCTACAGCAATTTGCAAGGGTTTGTGGTTTCGGGGACGCGCGTATCGCTTGATATACTGAGGATTCTGGCCTCGGGGAGGCGAATATTGTGTAAGTTACCCGGGTCTATTGCTTCGGGGGTGCAAAAATTGTATAAATTGTGAAGAATGGCCTCGGGGACGCTAATATTGTCTAATTTACAAGGGCTAGTTGCCTCTGGGACGCAAAAAAATAGCAAGTTGCGAGGGTTACTGGCTTTGGGAACGCGGATATTGCATAATGTACTAGGGATCGTGGCCCAAGAGGCGCGAACGTAGCATAATTTATGTGAGATCGTGGCCTCGGGGGCACGAGTGTTGTGCATTTGACAAAAGGCCGTGATTTCGGAGCACGAAGGCGGAGCAATTTACGAAGGATCGTGGCCTCGGGGACGCGAACACAGTGTAATTTACGAGGGATTACTGCGTCGGGAGCGCGAATATCATGTATTTTCACATGGCCCACGGCCCCGCAGGAATTAAGACAACGCGATTCGGGGGTGGTAACTGCACGCTTTTCAGCTCCCCCCCTCGCACGGACGTCAACAATTTATTGTAGGAAGCAGAAAGCACGACTGTAACATTTGAGACTGGAAACTGCTACTGGCGCAGGGTACTGAAACCTGAGCCTCGCAGCCTGATGGCCCCTCAAGGAGGCTGGTGGATTTATTCACGCTATCTAGATGTCTTCCATACAGACATTGCAGATTTTCTGCCCGCGCACACTTGTTGAAATCATACGAATACCAGATGGTCTCGTCCAGCAACAGCATTCTCATCTCACTGCGCGGTGCATCCACACTGATCCAGCATGCGCCCAGGGCACGGGCCCGTATCGATTAATTCCGTGCAGGCCACGCGCGCGATGCTGTGCGCGCGTACCGAAACCCTCCCCACACCATCGGTGTCCGAAGCGTTTCAAGATAGAGCGTTTCGAAAACGCATGAAAACCCAATGGCCGTTCAATACAGCCTGCCATACTCCGTGATTTTCGGGCGCGCGCGCGCTTCCACGTCATCCTCGTCAGCGCCTTCGCATCACCGCCGTCATCGTCATCGCCAATCGCCGGCATTGCCGTCCCTATCAGCACAACCATTTTCGTCAGCGACACGTGGACATTGTCGTCGTCACCGGCATTGGCGCCGTCATTGGCCTTGCCGTCGACATCGTCACCATCGCCACCACCATCGCTAGTGTTCTCATCGGTGCCGCCGTTGTAGACCTCATCATGCTACCGCGCCCGCCCAAGTCACCGACACGCACCGAAGTGCATACGCGCCTGCGTGGCCTGCGAGACGCGCTGGGAAGCTCCCATCGGTAAGCGCCATGGCCGCCGCACCAGTTGCATCAGACCAGCTGGCTGATCTGCTCGTGAACACGCGCGCGCGCCAGTGCAGCCGCAAAGATGCGCTAACAAGTTCCAATCGGTAGCCGCAATCGTGGCCGAATGGGTTTTGCCGGCAAGTTGCAGGTGGGTGCGTGGGATACTTGCACGAGCAGTGGAGGTGGCGATTTCGAAACGGAGAGAAATGTTGTTCCATATAGATCACATAGCTCACACCCCGTGGACTGCTCGGCATGACTTGCAACGCAATAGAGTGCACATCGAGAGTGACAGAGCTCACTGTCGGGGGCACATTCTGGCAAACATGTGTGTCGGCTTCACGCGCGTTTATCAGTGTCTGTAGAGGAGGGAATCACTTGGGTTGCGGAAGCCATCCGCGTGTAGTAATCACAAGATTGTTTGCGGCCTGGACTCCGTCGCCCGCAATCCAAACGGTGAGCAAAGATTGGGCGCAGCCCGCAGTGGCCGCGAACGAACGCGATTGTTTCTAACCCCGTCCTCCTCTTCGCCATGTTTCGTCCAGGTCGCCGGTTGGGTCATATGTTTCGGCCTCGGTCGCCGAAATTTGACGCGTCCTTCCTGCCATTGGCTGCGCCATAGGATGCACCCTCGGCCGCCAAGACTGAAAGCAGGCTGCTATCGGTTGCGCATTCGGTTGCGAACTCGGCCTCCGACGCCTCAGACACCCTGCCACTGGTTGCTCCATTGACCTGCGCCTCGGCCGCCGAAACGTCAAACATGCAACTGTTAGTTCTGCCTCAGGCTGCGCACTCGGCCGCCGAAGCTGTGCACGTCCTGCCACTGGTTGCGCAGCAGGCCGTGCTCTCGACCGCCCAAAGCGTGTGGCCATGTATTGCGCCACGAGCTGCCTCCCCGCTGCCTCGGGGCGGGGGCCTGGCGGGGGACGCGCGGGCGGGGCCGAGCCAGGCTGGACTTGGCTTCGGCCCGCCCGCGAGAGAGGCGTGCGGCCAGGGCGTCCGAGCTGAAGAACATCTTTTCGCTCTTGTCCCGGAACGGCAACGTGAAGCGGTCGGCCTTCATGAAGGCCCTCGAGTCGTCCTCGCAGGCTTGCCGGGCGAACGGCGCCATCTCTGCGCGGGCGTGCGTGCAGCTCTTCATGCTCCCATCCTCCTCCTCCTCCGCCTCCTCCTCCTCCTCCTCCTCCTCCTGCTCCGCCTCCTCCTCCTCCTCCTCCTCCGCCCTCCTCCTCCTCCTCCCTCCACCTCCCCCTTCTCCTCCCTCCTCCTCCTCTCTCTCCTTCCCCTCTCTCCTCCTCCTCCTTCCTCCTCCTCCTCCTCTCCCTCTCCCTCCTCTCCTCCTCTCCTCCTCCTCTCTCCCCTCCCTCCTCCTTTCCCCCTCCCTCCTCCTCCCCTCCTCTCCTCCTCTCTCCTCCTCCCCTCCTCCTCCTCCTCCTCCTCCTTCCTCCTCCTCCTTCCTTCCTCCTTCCTCCTCCCCTCCTCTTCCTCCTCTTGCTTCCCTCCCCCTCTTCGGCCCCTCCTTCCTCCTCTCCTCCTCCTCCTCCTCCTCTACTACTACTAACTACTAAGACTACTATCTACTATCCTACTACTACTACTACTACTACTACTACTACTACTACTACTACTTACTACTACTACTACTACTTACTACTACTACTACTACTACTACTACTACTACTACTACTACTACTACTACTACTACTACTACTACTACTACTACTACTACTACTACTACTACTACTACTACTACTACTACTACGACTACTACGACTACTATACTACGACTACTACTACTACACTACTACTAGCTACGACTTTACTGCTTACTACTACTACTACTACTACTACTACTACTACTATAACTACTACTACTACTACTACTACTAATACTACTATACTACTACTATACTACTACGACATACACTACTACTACTACTACTGACTACTACTACTACTGCTACTACTACTACTACTACTACTACTACTATGCTGCTGCTGTGCTGCTGCTACTATACTACTACTACTCCTCCTCCTCCCCCTCCTCCTCCTCCTCCTCATCCTCCTCCTCCTCCTCCTCCTCCTCCTCCTCCTCCTCTTGCTCTCCCTCTTCCTCTTAGTTGGTTTTGGCCTAAGCCTCGCCCGCTGGGTCGCGCCGCCGCGCGCCTCCCGCGCCGTCGCCGATGCCGCCGACGCTCGACGCCCGCCGTGCGCGCGCGGCTGAGGACGCCCTTCGCGGCGCGCTCCTCGCCACGCACGCTGCAGCTGGGCTCACTGGAGGTTGCCGCGAGGCCCAGCGCCTCGCGCGCGCCTCCGAGGGCCTTCTTCGGACGGCCATCGCCGCCCTGACGGCGCCGCCCGCCCCTGCCGCGCCTCCCGCAGCGGCGCCCCCCCCGCTGCCGCCCCGCGGCGGCGGCGCCGCCCGCGAGGGCGAGGCAAGAAGGCAGGCACGGCGAAGCAGGCGATGGCGATGGGCTTGGTGGACGTGGAGGCGGAGGACGCGGCTACGGCGGCTACGGAGGCGGGGGGGGTCCCTGCTCCGCCGTCGCCCCTGCTGGACGACTCCTGGGCCGACGAGCTGCCCCCGCGGCGGACGGCGGCCACGGTGGCGACTGGCGGCGGGCGGCCTCCTGGCGCGCGCGGCTTGGCATTGTCACATGCCATGGCGTCTCAGCTCGGCGTGACCCCCCTCGAGCTGGGCGCCCTCTTTCGAGGAGAGGCCGCCGCCGCTTCGGAGCCTCCTCGACCAGCTGGGCCTGCTGAGCCGCGTCGTGGACCCTCTGGCGGAGACTCCGGGGCGGACGGGGGTGGCAGTGGGGGGTTGGCAGGGGGGCTCGCCGCGTAGCGAGCAGGCCCGCCGCCCCTCCCCTCCGTCCGCCACATGGCGTTCGCCCTCAGCGAGCGCCCCTACATAATCTTCTGAGCCTGCCGTCGTTTGTGCCAGCAGACGACGTTCCAGTCGGCGCCCACCAGCTCTTCCTCCTCCTCCTCCTCCTCCTCCTCCTCCTCCTCCTCCTCCTCCTCCTCCCTCCCTCCCTCCCTCCCTCCCTCCCTCCTCCTCCTCCCCCTCCCGCGCAGCGCCAGGGCGGGGCGCCCCTCGGGGCTGCAGCGGGCTATCCTCCGTCGCCGACCCTGTGCAGTGATGGGGCGGGGGGATGGGCGGCGCTGATCGGGAATTCTTCCCTGTCTTCGAGATGGATCCCCCGTGCGAGCGCCCCCGTCCAGAGTGCATAGGACGCTCGAGGGGGCGGGAGGCAGGAGACTGTTGCTGTCTAGGGTTTGGCGATGGCCCAGGCGAATTGTCAGCCCCCCCCCCTCACGCCCAGAGGACCTGACCTTGCCTGTTGCGCGGACCTGAATGGGGTGCGCAGTATGGGTGCGCCTGGTGGGCATACGCGGGGCTGCCCACAGCAAACATGTTAGGTTATCGGCCACCCCTCCCCTCCCCCCTCCCCCCTCCACATCAGATACCCCGGGCGATCGCAGAAAAAATACACGTTATCCAGCGAGGACCCCAAACAGTGTGTTTCTAGCAGCATAGGTTGTGCAATCTATGTGGGGCAATACGAGTGTCGCAGTTTGCAGAGTGTAACGTCTGATTATTTGGAGCAGCACATGCTGTGCAATAGACGTGGTGCAATCTATATAGTGCGTAATCGTTGTGGTGCAGTATATGATGTGCCACGTCGGTGGAATAGTCGGCGTGGGTCCATAAATGGCATGCATGCCATATGTATATATATATATGTATGATCACACCTGGTGCAGCTTTCTGCACGCACTATGTGTGGTCATTTTGTTTGGAACAATATATGATGCGACATCGATGTGGAACAAGCTATGCTGCGAAATGTGTGTGGTGCAAGCGAGGTGCTTTAACATATGTTGCGCAATCTCTGTGGAGCAGTTTATGTGGTGAGAAACGGCCTGGCGGCGTCGGCGACAACGTAGACGCCAGACCGCCACTTAGGCCAACACGTCGGGCGGCGATGGGGCGGCGACGGCGACAACGCAGCCGGTGGACACTCCTTCGGGCCCACACGACGGCAAGCGACCAGGCGGCGACGGTCCGACGACGGCGACAACACAGCCGCCCGACCGCCATTCAGGGCCAGTTCCTCAGAACACAAGTAAGAACTTCTGAGTGCTAGCATTAACCTCATGCCCGTGAGAATAAACACTAGGGGATAATAAAGTTCGGGGTTCAGGGAGAGATAATAAAAGTAGCCCAGCAGACCTCAGCATAATCTCGAAGTAAGAGATGATCAAGAGGAGACCAAGCCGAGCACGTTTTGAGACATCCTTGGCGTTTAGTTTTCATAGAAATATCCTCAACAATGGCTTATCTCGTTGGAATGGAGGAAGCTATATATTAAAAAGAAAAATAAAAATAATAAAGAATAAAATAAAAGAAATGATAGGAGGAGGAGAAGGACGAAGAGAAGAAAAAATCTCGAGTTTCAAATCTGTTATATTTTATTTCCAAGCGTTTTATGAAAATTGTTTTTTGTAAGTGCTCGTGTAGGGTAGCTCATGTGCCTCAATTTCCATGGATAATCAACCCCACAGATAAAAAAGTTCAGGCGAGCGTGGGGACAGAGAGAAATATAAAAGAAGAATACAGTCGAAGAATAATAAGAAAGAAGAAGAAGAGGAGAATAAGAAGAGGACGAAGAACGGACAAATGGAAAGTTCCAAATCTATCAATTTTAATTTACAAGCGCTTTATGAAAATTGATTGTTTTAAGTGCTCGTGTAGGGTAGCTCATGTGCTCCCCTTTCCATGGATAATCAACCCCAGAGATAAAAAAGTTCAGGCGCGCGCGGGGATAGCAACATCGCTTGATGTTGCTATCTCAACATAGCGTTTCGAGGTGATAAAGAAGTTCGGCCTCAGCGCTCGCCGCCCAATTTGAATTTTGTATAGGGCGACGATAATCAACTCTAAACACTGAAGGGGGGGTCCCTTTATTATCATCGGCATGCGGTTAGTTGGGGACAAAAAACTACAGCAGCAGCAGCAGCAGCAGCAGTAGCAGAGGGCCGCCAGTCGGCTCGAGGCGAAGCAGAGCAGCGCCCCTATCCAGCTTGTCCAGTTTCCTCTCTCCCCACCCTCCTCCTCAGCTCGTGTCCGCTGCCCCGGCACACGCCCACAGATCTCTGCATCACCGCGCCCGCGAGAGGCAGGACGCGCGAGGCGGACCGTGCTTGCGCTACCACTGGCGGCGCCAGGCGGGCCGGGACCGTCGAGCCGTCGGATCGGAAAGGCATCTTCAAATCGGCGTTGCCAAGCGGATTCACCTCCATTGAGATCCGTGCAGTGCGATGTTTTCACACCCGGCGTTTTCGCCCGGTTCCGAGCCCCAGGACCATCACAGATCGCCCCGGCTCGGAGAATGATGCAGAAAGATGGGGTGCAGGGCTTTGATTGTGTGTTTGTTCGCGATGTTGTTTTTGATCCCAACCATCTTTTGGTGTGGGGTCTCTTCGTTTTGAATACGCATCGCCCCGCGTTTTTCCTTCCCCACCTCCTCCTCCCCTTCCTCCCTCCTCTCGAAGGCCCCAGTGGCAGCGCCCGCATGCAGACTCGGATCAATTGTGGCACATCTCTCACACGTTTCGTGGCTTCAAGGGAAGTTCCACAGAAGGCCCCAGTGGCAGCGCCCGCATGCGGACTCGGGTCCATTTTGGCACACCCCTCACACGTTTGGTGGCTGCATAGAGACCTCCACCGAAGGCTCTAGTGGCAGCGCCCGCATGCGGACTCGTCCCTCACACGCTTCGTAGCCCCATTTGGAGCTCCACCGAGGGCCCCAGTGGTCGGGTCCAGTTTGGCACACCCCTCACACGCTTCATGGCCCCATTGGGAGCTCCACCGAAGGCTCTAGTGGCAGCGCCCGCATGCAGACTCGGGTCAATTTTGGCACACGCACACACATACACACACACACACACACCTAACAAGTTTGTAGCCCGATCGGGGGGCTCCACCGAAGGCCCCAGTGGCACCGCCCACATGCGGTCTCGGTTAATTTCGGCACAACCCTCGCGTGCTTCGTGG